TAATAATAATAATAATAATAATAATAATAATAATAATAATAATAATAAAGTTGAAGTTGAGCGACTTTGGAAAAATAAATTGTTTGTTATCCCAATTGTAATTGGAGCCCTTGGAGCAATACCTAAAGGGCTACCTCACTATTTGGAAATTCTGAATTTATCAGGCTTAAATACCCTGATTCTACAAAAAAAACCACTTTATGTGGCACAGCTTATATCCTCCGACGCTTCCTGAACAGTTCCTAGGTCCTTGGTTAGGACTCAGGCTGTTGAGCTACCAACCAGCTGCAAAGGCTGTGAATCTCACTAAAGATTAACCAATAATAATACTAATACTAATAATAACAACTCCATGGATACTGCTGATTCTGGAGGGCTTCCCTTCACACTCTTCCTCTCCCTCCCCACGGACCCTCCCCCCCCCCCGTGTTTTTAGGGTTGGAGCAGCGCCTATTCCACAGAGTCGGTTATCATGCAGATCAATGCCACGTTAGTCAAAGGGAAAGCCAGAGTTCAGTTTGGGGCAAATAAGGTAAGCGACACCGTTGTGTGTTCCCAGTTATTGTAAGACTTCCATTTGTCTCTTCTGCTACAAACCCAGCGGGCTTAAGCTTCATTGTCAAAGCAGGGTGGCGGGCGGGTTGTTTGATCACTTCATGTCCAGGTTTTAAAGCAAATCCACGGAACCAAAATACAGTTTGCACACAAATCTCATCCCCCATGAAGAGGTGTGGACTTCAATTCCTAGAATTCCCCAGCCAGTCAAGCCTGGTCAGGAGCACGTTAGGAAGTTATATAAATGTTCTAAAAATGAAATAAATAAAAGCTCTCCTTGGTAAATGAAATGGGGGTGCCTTTCGTACATCCCTCTAGCTTCTCAGCGTTGTTAGAATAAGAATAATAACAGAGTTGGAAGGGGCCTTGGAGGTCTTCTAGTCCAACCCCCTGCCTTAGCATGACATGAAGGTTTCTGTATAAATCTCTGAGCTGTCCAGCGTCTTCTTTGTCAGACCTGATTTTGTCTCCCGAGAAAGAAAACGTTAAAAACCCGTTCTCTCTCTTTCAGAGCCAATACAATCTAGCAAGAGCACAGCAGTCTTATAAATCTCTAGTACAGTTACATGAGAAAAATGGTATGTATGGTATGTATGTAAAACCCATAGTTTTGTAAGTATAACGCCAGACGAGAGCAACTGGAAAGGGGAGGGGGCATTTTAAGCCACTGTACCCCCCCGCCATGTATCTCTTGTACATGTCTGTCTCTGAATCGAACCCAAAATTTGTGTTGCTGAGTGAGAAATTTGTTAAGGGAGTTTTGCCTCACTTTACAACTCTTCTTGCCACCGTTGTGGTTAAGTTAGTCACACAGTCATCCCAGAAATGTGGTAAAACGAGTGTCCTTCAGGGGTTTTTACATCTCGACATGCATTTTAGACTTCTGAGATACCATATATAATTATTGTAAAGCATAAAAGCATTTACTATTGTTCCTGTGTATCTGACAATTATTTTCTTCTTCCAGGCTGGTTCACACCTCCAAAAGAAGATGGATAATACTGAGGGCCACACTTATTGGACCAATATCAGTAAAAGATTTTATTTCCATGCAGACTCAAGCTATAAATGCCCCATAACAGCTCATAAATGAATTAGTGGATATCCAATATAAATTACAGCCATACTGTTCTGCTCATCGGACAAATATTTTGGCCAGAACAATTTAAGACTTTCCTATATTTTCCCAATAGATTGAACATACCTGCATTTTAGTACTGAATCTCTCAAACTGCATTCCTGGTTTACTAAAATTTCCTATCAACTTTTCTATGCACTTCAGGGGTTGTTGTTGTTTTCTCCAGAATGGACTGCAAAGGATTGCAATATATTTTATTTAAAACCAATCAAGAGGAATTAAGTTAGTTTGATAATGTGTGTTGTAGAGGTTTCAGATCTTGTACAAAACAATCTTTTTTTTCCAGGCTTAAAATTTGAGAACGTTTGTAGAATTTCTTAATTCGAACGGAGATATAGGAGAAAGCTTGCAATGTGAAAGAATTAAAATGTTTTATTGCATGGCTGTCTTGAGGTTAGAACTCCTTAGTTTAAGCAGAGCCAGGCTGTGCCAATAGAACTTTGCAATGGGTCGTATCTACCGGGGTTGCTGAGCTGTTCTGATAATTTTTGAGACTCTAGCATCTTCTTTTCAAGAGGGAGCCCTAGGTGTAAAGCTTGAAAATTTATTTAAAATGCTAAAAAGCCTCTTAAACAAGATCAACTCCATTAACGGGTTGTTGCAATCACTTATAGATAATGAACTTAAAAAGCAATGGGCAAAAATCAAGACACTCCTTGTGTTTTTTTTTTTAAGAAGACCAATTTTTTAAAAAACGAAAGCCACTGAATACCCAGGATGATCCTGATTCAGATTGGTGGTTTCTTTTAAATATCACCATCGATCATCATGACCGTGGGTTTTGTTCAGAAAATAATTGGATTGGAAACTGCTGTCAGCCAGTAAACTGCTTTATCATTGCCTTACTTTAATTTTTTAAAAAAGTCAGGTGTTTTAATTTTTAGAGCTGAATTTGGGGTCATTTTCTTTTTGTTCATTGGAATTGTATTAAAGGAATTGGCATTTTTCTTTCCGAGACCAGAAGTGGACAGGTTCTCTTATACCCCACCATTGTTACCTCCAAAGTTACATCTGTAAGATGATCATAGATGCTGGACTTCAGTTTGAAAGACAAGACTTCTGCCTGGTGGACCTTAAATTCTTATGATCTTTTGAAGACGTTCTCCAGATCATTTCCAGGATTTTGGCTACTTGGTTGTACATATTGTTTCTATTGAATTGTCTTAGCCGCCTTAAATCAAAGGACAAATTCTATGAGTTTCCTGCAGCTCATTTGAAAACCTGAGGCTAATATTTTGGATACCTTATCACATTGTTTAATATTTCTAATGGACTAGCACAATGGACAGTTGCACACCCTCAGCTTCTCTTTTATTTTATTGGGAGTTTCATTGTTTTTTTAAAAAAAATTCAGAAGTACTTAGCAGCGTACAATAATCTGTAAACTTGCATCAAGTTTATGAATAAAATGAACCATTTTAAGAATCCTGTCACTACTCAATGTTTCTGGAAGAGCTATTTTTGGGGGCGTGGGGTTGAGTGTGATCTTAAGCTTGTATAACTTATCAAAGCAGTGTTAAAAAGCTGGACTGACTTTGAATGTTTAGTAATGATAAAAGACATAAAAATGTGATTGGTACACAACGGTAATTGGAAGCTCTTCAACTATTTACAGGTTCTCCTCGGCTTGCAGCCAGGATTTCTGTTGCTAAGCGAGATGGTTAAGTCACACCCGATTTTACAACTTTTGCCACCGTTGTTAAGCAAATCGCTTCCATTATTAAATCAATTGTGTGGCTGTTAATCAAATCCTGCTTCTCACATTGGCTCTGCTTGTCTGAAGCCCCTTGACAAGGTTGCAAATTGTGATCACATATCTCTGGGATGCTACAACCATTGTAAATACACCCTAGTTGCTAAGTATCATAACTTAACATGTAGCCCTAGGGAGACGGTGAAAGTTGAATGAGCAAGGACTGGTTAATTCACTTTTTTTCAGTGCCGTTGTAACTTCAAATGGTCACTAAAGAAATTGTTATAAGTTGAGGTTTGCTTGTAGTCCGACTAGTCCTGCTGTATTTTATTTATTACTTTATTAACTATTTTGGAACCGCCCCAATTTTCTTCCTGACTGGCAGAGAGACTGGCTCCTTTCTGGTTTCTTCACATCCTGTCTTTTTATAGTTTTTCCATCCCACTTTGAACTGTTTATTCCCCTAAATTAAGATGCTCCCCAAAAGGTAACGGGATTTCCTCTCGTTCTTGTCTCCATCGTTGTGGCTTCTCTCTCTCGCATCTGTCCCATCACCCTAAACATTGTAACTGAAGCTGGGCACTGAAATCCAACATGCGGTAGCTGCAAACCATGGATTACGTCCGCTGAAGATTTTGCAAAACCACTGGAAACTTTTCACTTGCAAAGAACTCTTCCTTGCTACGTTTAAAAAAAAAAAAAAGAAATTAGGAGGAAATGCAGAGAGGAACTGATTATTTAAGAGTTTGCAGCCATAAGTATTTTTCCAGGGCCCAGCCATTGTGCCCTTTTCCTTCTTCATGCTGTCAAGATTTCTCCCTAAACTTTTATTTATTTATTTACTTTAAAAAAAATTCTTGCTTTATACAGGTTGTCCTTGAGTTAACGACTGCAAATTGAGCCCCAAATTTATGTTGCTAAGTGAAACATTTGTTGAGTTTTGCTCCATTTTACAACTTTTCTTGCCACGGTTGTTAAGTGAATCATTGCAATTGTTAGGAAGTGAATCTGGCTTCCTTGTTGATTTTGCTTTTCAGAAGGTTGCAAAAAAAAATAATCACGAGACCCCTGGGAGACATTGCAACCGTCATAAAAGGGGATGCTGCAATGGTCATAATTTAAAAAGCGGTCATAAGTTCCTTTTCTCACTGCTGGTGTAACTTTGGTCACTAAATGAACTGTTGTAAAGTTGAGGGCTATCTGTCCTATTCTACATCTATGGTCTCCCCTCCGACCTCAAACTCTGAGCTCATAGAGATAGGAAAAAAAAAGTAGTAATGAAGGTCGACAGGTTTCGTTTTCCGAGTCCCATTCCGAGTTTCGGGAGTAATCATCATAGAGATGCCGAAGGCTAGAGCGGCTACCCTTTGATCACTCGGGGCCGAGGGAGGGTTGTCCGGGTTCCTCTTCCCCACCCCCCGACACACACCGCGCGTCGGTCTCCACGGCAACGGAGGGCGTCGCGTCGTCGATGGCGTCAGCAGCGCGCCGCAGCTTCTGGGACTCTGCTGGTGCTTTTTCGGAGTGGGGGGGCACGCGCGGCCTGCGGTTGTCATGGAGCCCGACCCCAAGAGCGGCTACGTGCTGAGCAGCCTCGCCGAGGTGGTGGAGCGGATCCTCGGCTTCCTGCCCACCAAGGCCCTCCTGCGGGCGGCCTGGTGAGCAGCTCTGGAGAGTCACGAGGGAGCGCCCGGGACGCCAGTAGACCCCGAGGAGCGACGAGAGAGGAACCGGCCCTCGGATGGGGGGCGGGGGCGGGCGGGGAGAGCCGATAGCCACGGAGAGAAGCGGGCGGGCGGGAGAGGGTACGAGAGGGGCGGTGGCAGCGGAGGCAGGCAGAAGTCCGAAGGGAGCAACTGGCATCCCTGGGAGGGAGGAGGGCTGGGGGGAGGCTACAGTTGCCCCCCCCCGCGCGCAATGTGGTTGATCTATATCTCTATCCATCTACGTATATCTATCATCTATATCTGTCTGTCATCTGTCTCTGTCATCTGTCTATCCATCTAATCATCTATATCTGTGATCTGTCTCTATATCATCTACATCTGTATCATCTAGCTGTCATCTGCCTCTATCATTTATCTATCTACCTGTCTGTCATCTGTCTATCCATCTGTCACCTATATCTGTCTCACTATCATCCATCTATCATCTATCTATATCATCTGTCATCTGCCTCTATATCATCTATCTATCCATCTTATATCTGTCTGTCATCCATCTATCCATCTATCATATATCTATATCATCTATCTGTCATTTGTCTATCATCTGTCTATCTATCTATATATCATCCATCATCTGCCCCTATATCATCTATCCATCTTATATCTGTCTGTCATCCGTCTATCCATCTATCATCTATCTATATCAGCTATCTGTCATCTGTCTATCATCTATCTGTCTATCCATCTATCTATAATCTATATCATCTGTCATCTGCCTTTATATCATCTATCTATCCATCTTATATCTATCTGTCTGTCATCTGTCTGTCCATCCATCATCTATCCATATCATCCAGCTGTCATCTGCCTCTATCATTTATCTGTGTCATCTGTCTATCCATCATCTGTCTGTCTATCTATATATCTATCTGTCTCACTATCATCCATCTATCATCTATCTATATCATCTATCTGTCATCTGTCTCTATCATCTATCCATCTATCTATAATCTATATCATCTGTCATCTGCCTCTATATCATCTGTCTATCCATCTTATATTTATCTGTCATCTGTCTATCCATCTATCATCTATATCATCTATCTGTCTGTCATCTGTCTCTATCATCTATCTGTCATCTGTCTCATCCGTCTATAATATATAATATGTATATTTTATATATATAATATGTATTTTTGTTTCAGTGTGTGCCAGCTATGGCGGGAATGTTCCCGCAGAATCCTGCGAACACAGCAGGGTATCACCTGGGTCTCTGCCCTGGAGCCAGACCCATCCAACAGTCACGTTCTGGTCCACGTGTTAGCAGAAGACATTGAGGTAAGCGGTTTGGACCCATGGACAGAAGCAGGTGTTTGCCTGTTGTGGTTGAGCTTCGTTCTTAAGGTTGCAACTTTGAAACCTCGTCTATTTGGCAAGCTTTGGTCATGTTTGTTAAATTATCACATTTACTGTTCTGTTTTTTTCTAAACAGAATAATGATGGTTAAGAAACAGCCCTTTGGCTGTGCAATTATATCTTTTTTTCAGTGACAAGTCAAGAAGCAGTTATGTTTATTCAAGTTTTATTTGGTTCTAGTTGAAGAAATACCTGCAGCTCAGGTTGAATTCTGGGAACCATTTGTACTCTCTGAGCTTTGTGGTTTTCTTGCAGACATTTTATTACCCAACTAGGGAACACGATCAGTATCTGATGATTACCATTACCATCAGAGCACTATCAACACCATCAGAACACTGATGATGTTACCTAGTTGGGTCATGAAATATTTGCAAGCCAACAATCGGGCTCCATCAAGAGCACCAAGGACCCCAAGCTGTATTTGGAGCTGTGCTTGTTTTTCATATACAAGACAAGTTCCTGATGTGTGACTATCCATTGTCCATTATGTTGTGTTTTGTGTTTATATTACAGAAAGTTCAAGTCCTCCCCCAGACAGTGTTATATATGATATCAGATGCAGAGACGTTCAGTGAAAACAGAGAGATTTCTGGCAATAGTCTGAAGAAAGGTAAGTGGCCAGCAAGACTGTTTTTTAGCCATTGATTTATACACATGGGGCAAAAAAACCAGTCTTCTGATTGGACCACTTGGGTTCTGTAGACAAAATGATAGCTTTGAATCGAGCTCTCTGCTCTGTCATGACTTAAGTAGACAACTTTGGCAAAGTATCGTTTTGCAGTAACAAAGGAGTGTTGACGTGGGTCTATAGATTTAGTTGACCTGAGTAATTGAACTCTTTAATTTATCAGAACCTCTTGTTATTTGCCGGTTGCAGGAACATGAAAATATATCGCTGGAAGAATCCTACAGAGCAACGTTTTTCAAACTTGGCAACTTTAAAGTGTGGACTTCAACTCCCAGAATTCTGGGACTTCAAATTTTCTCAGAAGTTCACAGCGGCTAGAGAATTATGGGAGTTGAAGTCTACAAAATCTGAAAAGTTGCCGAGTTTGGAAAACGTTGTTTTGTGATGGCAGGATTTATCTCGATCTTCTGCTCCCAGGTTGATCTTGGGAACAGAAAGCTGACAGAGGCAACAACTTTTGACCAGGTAGCCTTCTGAAGAACTTTGAAAATAATAAGATTTTTTCCTTGTTTGTCCATACATTTGGAAAGGCTCAGTTAAATCCCTGGAGGATAGATTAGAATCTAATCATTAGATTATACAAACCACCATTCCTTGTAACAAACACAAATTGATAAAGGAAAATATTTGCAGCTCAGGGTTGAAATAAGAGGTCCTTGGTACTCTCTGTGCTTGTCAATTGTCTCGCAGGTGTTTCATTACCAAAACTTGGAAACGCTTATCAGCCTAAATTCAAACCTCATTTTTATCTCTTGTCCCTTCCTGCTGGAAGCTCGTCCCAATGACCCATGAATTATCCCCCCAAAAAATCCTGAAAATTGTGAAGACCAACCAGTGATGGATATGTGTCTTTCGAGCAGCTCTCCTTATTCCTAGGGAGCTCTGTGTTTACTGAAGCAGCTAATTAAAATATTTTTAAAAACCGGATGCCGCTCCCAAGGTTATTATTGATCCTGCAGCAACTTGGACTAACCGTTTTTTGTTTTTTTTCCCCATAATTATAGCACGGCGAAGATACAGTAAAGAAATCGCGTCCGCCTTGGAAAAACTGCTCCCCGCACGATGCCAGGTGCTTGGTCTTGCGACACCTGGAGTTGTAGGTAAGGAGAACAACCTCCACAAAAATGAGCTCCCTGAGTTTTTCCCTCGGTACGGCTGTGCATCCAAACTGGGTCTTCCCACCTGCTCAAAGGGAGCAGCATTCCGTAGAAATTAATTGCAAAGAAACTTAGAATTTGGATTTCCGATTAGAATGGGAACTGTAATGGTGCGGTGGCCTAGAGGCGAAGTTCTCGCCTCACAATCAGGAGGCTGCGAGGTCAATCCTAGGTAGAGGCAGATATATTTCTCTCTCTGGGCACGTTGAGAATGTATCCGCTGAACAAAGACTCCGCACTGGCAACAGGAAGGCCATCCGGCCAGTAAACGCTCAGCTCCATTCAGTTGCCCAGGCTCCACCCCACAAGGGATGATGAGGTCGTTAAAAGACGATGATTAAAATGGAAACTGTTCCCAGGTGCTCACAAGTCCTGGGGCCTAGCAGATCCCTGGTTCTCTCGCAAGTTTGCCTCAAAATGAACCGAAAGGGCTGTAATTTTGAAACAGCTTTCACATCCACAGTTGCAAAATCCACTTAATGTTTCACTTAGCAACAAAAATGGGGAGGGGGGGGACACCTCAATTGTGGTCGTGAGTCAAGGACTACCTTTAGAAATAGCAAAGAATAACGGGGAGAATGTTTCGTGATTGAACGGCCTGTGCTCTGTGGAAAACGAGAGAAACGTTTCAAAATGATTATCGCGGTCTTGGGAAAACGAGGTGCACCCTTTTTAACCGGACGGAGCGTCGCTTTTCAGTTACCCCCAAAGGCTCTGGCAGCCATCGTCCCTTGGAGGTTGAAGAAGGAGAGGCCGGCTTCGCCCTGCTCTTCCCCAAAATCGATGGGGTGAAGATTCAGACCTTCCATTTTTTTAAAGACCCAAAGAGCCAAGGCATCGACGAAGGACAGTTTGCGGAAGCAGGCAAGTCGGAGTGGGGCAGCTGTTTGGGGGGGGGCTCTCTTTGAACTCGTGCTATATATATATATATATATATATATATATATATTTTAAAGCTATCGCAGTGTTGGATTTTTATTTCCCAATGGTAATTCACAAGTGTCCTGTTGGAGTCTTGATTCTGGGGGGGGGGGGGGATTGAGCAGCTGACAGGGGGTGGGAGTGTGGCTCCAGTGGCTGTGGAAGAAATGGGGGAAGGGCACAGTCCGGCTGGGCATACAGAGTCAGACCCAGGCCCACCCCCTCTTCATCATGGGGTACGCTAGGAGGAACGGAGAAGGGAGCAACCTGGCTTACGGGAGAGAAAAGGGCCCTGATCCCTTTCATTAGTTGCAGCTGGGAGAACAGTGGTTGCGTTTGCACCCAGCTCCTTGCTGGAAGCAAAGCGTGCATTGTCTTTGTCGAGTCTTATCTGGATTTTGGCGTCCTCCCAACTGTGGGTGCTGCGTTATCCTTTGAAAGTCTGCCATTTATCATCCTGGCCTGCCGTGTTGATTATTACTTCAGTGTGTTTTGTGTTGGTTTTTTTAAAAATTTCTAGTTATTTTTATTTTGGGTCCGGACTGCATTTCTTCCCTTCGTAGACTGTTTTTGGAAGAGTTTGATCTCCAGCCGAGGATAGTTTGACATTGGGGCCCAAGTTGGAGGCGTGAAAGGGAATTTATTCTACTTTTGTGACTTTGTTATTTTTTGTGTCACGCCCCTTTGGGTCATCACAACACGATTGTAAATGTTGATACCGTCATAAGACCAACGTGGGCTTAAACGGCACAACAGGGAAGTCATTTTGAAAGTATTTTTCATAGTATATCGGAAGGTTGTGTGTTGGGTAGAGTGGTGCCGTGGCCTAGAGGTGGAGCTCTTGTCTCACAATCAGGAGGCTGTGAGTTCAATCCTTGGTAGAGGCAGATATTTCTCTCTCTCTCTTTCTCACACTGAGGATATGTCTGCTGAACAAAACTCCACCCCGGCAACAGGAAGGGTATCCGGCCATTAAAACACTCTACTAGCTGCATTCAGTTGCCCGGACACCACCCCACAAGGGATTATGGGGTTTGTTAAATGATGATGGTGATGATTGTAAGGTTGTGATTTGTGATGTAGGGTTTGGCTGCAAAGACTAGGAGAAACTTAGTGGTTCTTTGAACCATGTCATATTTTCGAAGTCATCCTCCCACCAAGGCACCAAGCTAGAAACTGGCAGATGGTCACCCAAGGCAATAGGTGACTTTTGGGCCAACTTCTAATGTTAGCTACCTAGAGTTATTTATAAAAGTAGATAATAACGGCAGGATAGAAATAGATGAATATTTACTCTACCCTTAACCACCAAACACTTAAGCAAGAGAGCAAAGTAAACCCTCCAGTAAACACACATGATAAACTTAAGTCAGCTAGTTTGTTGTCCAACTTTGTGCATCTCCCTGCTAAACCACAGCTGGTTCCCGTAGTTTTTACAGGGTTTTTATATAACTGGGAGGGAATGTTGAGTCCTTTTTTTTCCCTAGCTATAGGTGTCGTTTGCCGCTTTCCGTGCTGGGCTCCCTGTTTTCTGATACGTAAAGGGTTAAAACCGCTGGCTAAGTTTGTCCAATACAAGCCATTATGATTAGAGCCTTACAGAAGAGAAAAATAGACCTCCAGGATTACGTACCTAAGAGGTCAGAAATTTGCTGCAGGGCTGTTATGACAACAACAACACCTCGTGGGAATCTCTGCTTTTGGTATGGGTACCTTTAGGGAAAGTAGGTCAGGAAACAAAAACAGATTCAGGTCGTAAACTAGACGGTGCATGAAGTTTGGCATCTTGTTATTATCAGCAGAAAGACAGAGATTAATAATACACACACACATATATTTATATTTCTCTCTTCTCTTTCTCCTCTCTCTTTCTCTCTCTCCCTCCCTCCCTCCCTCTCTCTCTATTTCTACTCTCTCTCTCTCTCACCCTCCCTCCATCTCTCTCTGTCTCTCTTTCTTTCCTATCATGTCTCTCTCTCTTATCGTCTCTTTCCTATTGTGTGTCTCTGTTTCTCTCTCTTTCCTGTCGTCTCATCTATTGTGTGTCTCTCTTTTCTATTATGTGCGTGTCTCTCTCTTTCCTAACATGTCTCTCTCTCTCTCTCTCTCTCTCCTTCCCTCCCTCCCTCTCTCTCTGTCTCTTTCTTTCCTATTGTCTCTCTTTCCTATTGTGTGTCTCTGTCTCTTTCTCTCTTTCCTATTGTCTCTCTCTCTCTCTTTCCTGTCATCTCACTTATCTATTGTGTGTCTCTCTTTTCTATTATGTGTGTGTCTCTCTCTTTCCTATTGTCTCTCTCTCTCTCTCTCTCCTTCCTTCCCTCCCTCCCTCTCTCTCTCTCTCTCTCTCTCTCTCTCTCCTCTTTTACTCCAACCAGGTCTTAAGAACAACCCCGACCTCAGAGCCGTGCTTCTCTTCGGATACAACAGCTGGAAGACGGGATCGCCACGATTCTTCCGCCAAATTGTCAATCGCCTGAACGAAAAAAGCATCATCTTAGCGGGTGGATATGTAGACAGCATTACGTCCCTGACTTGGTGGGTGTCTCTTTTTGATAGGTTTCTCGGGTTAACAGGCGGTCCTCGACTTGCAACCACCACGAAGCCCCAAGTTTCTGTATCGCTAAGCAAAACAGTGATTAAGGGTGGGTTTTGCCCCCACTTTACCGCCTTTCTTGCTGCCGTTGTTAAATGAATCACTTCCATTAACTTAGTAACACGATGGTTAAAGCGAATCTGGCTTCCCCATTGGCGCTGGGGTCGCAGACTTCGGGACACTGCAAACCATCATAAATACGAGTTGCCAAGCGCCGGGATTTTGACCACGTGACCACGGGGATGCTGCTATAAGTGTGGAAGCTGGTCACAAGTCACTTTTTTCAGTGCCGTTGTATCTTCGGTCACTAAATGGAACGATTGTAAGTCGAGGACTGCCCGTAGGGTTCAGTGGGGTCGGCTTTTATCTGTTCCTGAAAATCTCAGCTTCTCTATTGTGATAAAGGAAAGTTCGGATTTTCCCGGCCTGCTCAAATCTCTTGGGCTGATAAAGTGAAGAAAAACTGGGTCGGATCAGGCCTTCCCGTTCCCCTTTATGGCCGGTTGCAGACTTCCATAATCATATGATTACAATTTACAGTGGGTTTTTTTGGGGGGGGGGGGGGGGGGGTTTGCCAGATTCCAGCACTTTTTGTCCAGATTTTGGCAAAAAAAAAAAAAAAGCCCACATAAGAATGCATTGATTTACTTAACGGAATGACATATGCCAGTGATGGCGAACCTTTTCGGCACCGAGTGCCATTTTTGGAGGGATTTTTAGGGGGGCGTTTTCAGGCCGGTTTTGGGTCATTTGGGGGGGAGTTGTTTTTGGTCTGGAAAACAGCCCAAAAAAACATCCTGGAAACAACCTGAAAAAGGGCCCCAAAATGGCCTAGGTTCTTGGCTGTTTTTCAAGCCATTTTCTGGTGCTCTGACACCCACACAAACCAGCTGGCTGGCAGAAACCAGAGCAGCAGCTAGCGACAGTGTGCGTGCCCACGGAGAAGGCTTTGCGCTTCTGGCATGCGTGCCATAGGTTCGCCATCACGGACACATGCTGAATGACCATCCCATTCACCTAACAACTGCCTCAAAATAATTATTTCCTTTTCAAGCACCAAAACAATCAGAATAGGGTGGCCTGAAAAGTTCTCCCTAATTTGGAGTCGGCCCCTTTCTTTCGATTCTAGCATGAAGCCAAAAGAGAGAGACTTCCGCAAACTGCTCGTACAAGTGAGCCACTTTCAAAACGCTTCGTGTTCTGCCAAGTGATCATTTTGTTTATCTAAAATTAGAAGTGCTAATGATGTGTGTTACAGCCCTTTCGTCATCTTTTTTTCTCCCCCCGTTTGCACTTCTCTCCTTACCTTATTTGAGTGACTTCCTTTACGTAAGTTGGATAACGCACTTGTAAGCTCCTTAGCCCTTTGGCTGGGATGACCCAAAGCGGCGTGGCCCAAAGGCAACACAGTCACATAAGTAAGAAAAGTTCCTTTAGTACCTCCAATTTTGTCCCCAGTGCCCAGTTACCTTCGGCTGGAATAAAAAACTCTCCCAGGAACAGTCTTTAAGTGGAGGAAATTCAGTCCGAAAACAAAGTACATGCAAACTGTAACTAAAAATCCAAACAAACCAGGCTGCAGGAATTAACTTGAGAGGGCAGGAGAAAGAATTGCAGGCCTGAAAGCAAACACAGTTGGGAAGAAGCCAGGAACGCAGATAAGCCTCGACAATACCAGATAATTCACGATTTGCTCCCAACAAGTTGCTGTGCACAGCTACCCTTTTTAAACATTGTGTTCCCAACTGCAGCTAATGAAGGGAATCAGGGCCTTTTCCTCCCCCAGTAAGCCATGCAACCCACGTTGCTCCCTTCTCCGTTCCTCCCTGCGTGCTCTAAGATGAAGGGGGGTTGGGCCTGGGTCTTCCTTTGAATTCCCTCTCCCTTGTTCTACCTCTCCCCTGCTCTGCCCAGCTGGACTTTGCCCTTCCCCAGTTTCCTTCACAGCCACCCTCCCACTCCCTGTCAGCTGCTTGGCCTCCCCCTCCAAATCAGATTCCAAGAGGGGCACGACATTAGCTTTTAACCAGCAACTGTGGATTAAGAGACTATTTTATTTTATTTTTAAAACAAGAAGCTGGAGATTTTCAATATTTGAACCTCTTAATGCCTTCGGGGAATTTTCTCAGGGAAGTGGCCAGGCTGTTCGCTGTTTTCCATCCAAGTAGTTTTTTGTTGGGAGAAACCAGAGAAACTTTTGATGCCTCTAAAAACCGCACATTTGGAAGCCAAGAGTAGCGTATTGGGTTTGTATGGTAATCCCCGGCTTACGATAATTGGGGCCATCGTTAATTTGGCACCCAGTTTTACAACCTTATTTGCCGGGGATATTAAGCGAATCGCACCTTCGTTAAGCGAACCTGGCTACCCCCATTGACTCTGCTCGCTGGGAGCTGGTTGGGAAGGTCGCGGAGGGCCATCGCCTGACACAGCGACCGTCGCAAATGCACGGCAGGTGTGCCAAGCAGTGTGAGCCATCAACCAGTGGAACTTGGAGCTTCATCCCTGGAAGCTTTAAAGCAGAGACTGGACTGTCATCTGTCAGAAATGGCGTAGGGCAGTGATGCTAAACCTTTTTTTTTATGGCGTGCTGAAAGCACGCACGCTCACAACGCAATGCGTCCCGCCTCCCTGCGCATGTGTTTGCAACATGCCCTGCCCCCTTACCTGGTGTTAGCCAGCAGCAGGTACAGACGGCTGAGGAGAGCGAGGACTCGGATGAGGGGCCGGGACCATCAGGGAATGGGCTGCTGCCTTCAGAGATGGTGGGGGCTGGCAGCAGTGACGAGGAGGTTCCCGAGGAGCCTGTGCTCAGTGCACGTGATCGCAGGATGCTTCGTAGGAGGGAACAGCTGAAGCTGCCTAGACGACTCAGGAGTAAAGAGACGATGTAATGGCCCCTCCCTCTAGGGAATATAAGCTTGGTTGCAAACAGTTTTTACCTTTGCAGAAGGCAAAAAGCGTTCGAAGGGTTAAGTGTGATGATAACAGACTCTGAAGGTTTATTTGAAGGTTTTCCTAATTGGATTAATTGGCTGCAAGCCATCTGTTATCTACAGAGAGGGTGGAATAAAGCTGTGAACATTTCCATTTTAGAGTTTTATCTATGTTTGCTTTTGGAAGCTTCTGCTGGGACAGAACATTACCTGCACTGCGCATGGGTGCGCCTCCCAGCTGATTTTCAGCCCGTTTGAGGCTGTTTTCACCCTCCTGGGGGCTCGAGGGAAGCTTCTGCAGCCTTTGGAGGCTGGAAACAGGCCCGTTTCGGCACTTCCAGTATTTCCAGAAAGCCTGTTTTTCACCCTCCAAAGTCTGCAGAGGCTTCCCTTGAGCCTCCAGGAGGGTGAAAACAGCCTCAAACAGGCTGAAAATCAGCGGGGAGGCGCACCCATGCGCAGTGCAGGTAAGTTTGGCTGAGGCTCTTACCTTCCATTGTAAGTGTGCAGCTTCGCTAAACGAACGAACGGTCGTAAGTTGAGGGTGACCTGTATTGCTCGGCGTGGCCTGTTGGGCGACGTTGGGCTGTGGCCCGCCAGCTTCTGACTTTTGTTCCCCCCCCCTTCCAAAATTCCTTTCAGTCACACCCAGCCTGCCGAGTCGTGTGGCGTGGTCAGCCTGGCGTTCAGCGGTGCCCAGATCCAGTGCGCCTCTGTCCTGCTGGACCAGGACGTGACGGACGAGAAGCTAGCCGAAGCGGCCATGCGGCGCCTGAAGGCGGCCAACATCCCTGAGCGCCACAGCCTGGCCTTCATGTTCGCCTGCGTGGGCAGGGGGCGCCAGCATTACCAGAACAAAGTGAACCTGGAGGCCGACACTTTCCGGAAGTTCTTCCCGGCCGTGCCGCTGTTCGGCTTCTTCGGGCACGGGGAGATCGGCTGCGACCGCATCGTGACGGGGAATTTCGTCCTCCGGGAATGTCGCGAGGCCAAGGACAACCTCCTGCACAGCTACACCACGGTGGTGATGCTTCTGCACTTTGGTTCGGCTAAAGGCAATCAAGCGTAAACATCTCTCTCCTCTCTCTCTCTCTCTCTCTCTCTCTCTCTCTCTCTCTCTGTCTCTCTTTTCTCTTCTGCCACTGTGCAGTTGTCGCTAGGCTGCAACGAGTGGCGAGGAGCAGGCCATTCTGGGCACGCCGTTCAGAGTCCCTCCCGAAACAAACAAGGAAAGCGGCCCCGTCGACTTTAGGCCTCCCCGATGACGTGCTCTTAAATTCGGGGAAGAAAAAGATGAGTTTTTTAATTCCCCGTTTTCTGAAGCAGAAAGTGCTTCGTATCCATACGGTTAGATTTTTTTTTTTTACTTCATTCTAGCAGTTGCAAATGATGGTGGTTTAAGCATCACCGGTGCTTTCGTACTGGGGTGGGGGAAAAAAAATATCCTTTTTCCCCCCTTGCTGTTAGTGGATTACAGAACAAGTCAGCCCATGAACTAAGCCTGTCTTAAGCTAAGCCTGTTATTGTTTGTCTCTGGCAGTGCAAAGTTTCAGGTCTGAACTGAGCTCTTTAAATCATCTGTTAAGGGGCAAAGGAGCCCATGGAGGCCTAGTCAAATTTGAAACCCCGTTTGCACTGAATATTCATCGTCTTGGTCCAGAGAGGATTAGATGGTCTGGATTCTTGGGCTTATCTTGGTTAAAACACTGGAAGTTGGGACATCTTGTTCACTAGCTAGTTTATATTTTATATATATATTGTACTAGTTGCCTGCTTTTTAATCGCTTTGGTTGTAGGAAAATATCCCTCGGGGTTCTTAAATATATGGAGGAACCTCAAGATTTGTCTGATCTGGTTTGAATTCTGCTGTTGAGCGTTTTAAATATGAATTTTTGGGATCTGGAACTGTCCAAACGACAACAGTCTGAAAGCATACACTAATAAGGTTTTCTTCCTGTGCAAAAAAAACAACAGCAACCCTTCAACTCGCAGCTTTTATCAGTGTAGGAAAGACGAACGGCAGCAGAATTATATGTCTGCAAGATGTTAACTTGATATTCAGCTTTCTCTCTGACATTAAAGCTACTGAAGATATTTATGATTTGGTTTAATGTCCTAAGGTTATACTGGGGAAGTCGGGCAAGTGTAAAATAAGGTAACAGAGAATTAAATACGTGATTTTTTTTCCCCCGTCTTAACTGCAAGTTATATTCTTTCTCTCTTCCTCCAAAAGCAGAGTGCCAAGAATGTTTTGAGTATTGTTATTTTTTTCCTCTCCAAAATGTGCTTGTCTTTTCCATGAAAAATTGAAAACCACGATGCAAGGAAATTCCATTTTTCTTTGTGGAGACACCTGTCTGTATGATGCATTTTGGGAGTCGTTGCAGACTTGACTGCTTTTAATGCCCGGGAGAAACTGTGTTTGCTGGACTGGCTTTAATGACTTTACTTCATTACGCTATTCGTGCTGTTTTTGAATATATGAAGGATGGTAATCCAGCTTCAGGACCGAATTCCTCACGTGGTTGAAGTCCTGGACTAACATTGAGAGTCCCCGATTATCTTTCTTCTGGTTTGATTTGGTCACGTTAATGCAATAACCCCCCCAAATATTAAACCTTAGGGAAATATTAGAGGCAGGGATTTAAAAGATTGGTTAGTCTACTATAGGTTGCTGCAGGTTTATGGGCCAAGTTTCAGGGTTCTTTTGCCAACGTGATTCATGAAGCCAGTAATTCAAAAGTTTTAGGAAAGTCATTTTTTTAATATATTTAAAATGTACAAAATTGAAACCAGGCTTACATCTCAGAAACATCCCGTTCTGAAGCCACTTCTGAGATGGTTTGCCGATGATGCATGCTTGCCAGATTGTTTTAGAAATCAGACTTCAATGGCCAGCGTGTTTATTTTAAAGGGAACTTTCTCTGTTGAAAAGTTAGTGCTGTTTTATGGAAGACAGTCTAAAGCGTATATTGAAAATGTCTGTTAAAGTGGACATTGACATGTTCTGGTTGCTTGAAAAAGTGTCCTGAATAGAAATTGATTCCAAAGAATTTGGTATATGGTCAGTCAGTTTTCTGGGTAAATTTACTGGGTAACGTAAAAAGCAAGTTCAGTTTTGGGATTGTAATGCAGAGGTGAGATTGTGTTCCTCTAGAAATAAATCCATTTACAGCCAATAATAGCTTCCCCCCCCGCCCCCTCAATTCTGCGGGTCTGCGGTTGCAATTTTCTCAAATCAGAAGGCATGCAAAAATAAATAAATAACTTTAAGGAAAGGAGCCTACAGACCAATTGATGGCTTCATGAGTAAGAACAAATGATTCGTGGAACTTTACAAAACTGTATGTAGTTTTACGTTAAGTTTGTTGGATTTTTTTTTCCCCTCCGCTTTCTTCTAGAACTCTTCCAACTCTTTTTCTGAAACAACTTTGCGAGTAGACTGGACTGAGAATAAGTTACTCCCTGGACCAAGGTGACCCCCCAAACCTGAGTCTCCCCCATCCTCGTCCTTAACTATTACTCTACTCCGGCTTGGTCAGATCTTATTTCTTAATTAGTTGTCCTTTACAACCAACTGATAACACGCGGACCAACTTTAAACACAGAATATTTCGAGAGACCTCAGATACGTGTTTGAAAAGGATAAACTTTATTTACAAATGGAAATGTTTCAAACAAAAAGGAGAAGAAAAAAAAAGGAATACAGCGACTACATCATGACCCTAAAAAGGCGTGCCCGATGTCACTGCTGTAAGTTGTGGAGACCTTTACATAATACAGCTCTTTATTTTGTTCACCAAAGCTTGCTCCTGGCATGGAAGATCCGTTGGGAGGATACTAAACCGTAGAGCTGATTTCACCTTCAATAAAAACGGATGGAAGGGATCGAACAGCTTTTCAATACTACCTACTAATGTTCGGAAATACTTTAAAAGCATTTTGTCTATTTTAATTACCGAGGATGGAGTTGACTCTAATGTCTCTCTCAGCATCTTCACATACCTCTGACCTCCTGAGTCTGGGAACAGTAAGAACATAAGCGGTGCATATTTCTGCATAGATATTTGGTCCTGTAAATCATGTTCTTCATTCAAAGTATCCAGGAACGCTGACACAGATTCCTGAAAATCACAGAAGACAGTGGCTTTATTAGAATTTTCTTTCATTCTTTTTTTTTTTCAACGTCAAAATTTTTGTATTATCTTTCCCATCATTTCTGTCAAGGCAGCTTGCAAAGGTATTAAAGTAGCACACGGGTCTTGTACCCGCAGGAATTAATTAACCACATCAAAAATGAGGAACTGAACATCCTCAGGAATACAATGAGCAATTTTAACTCATTCACCGGCTCACTGTAGGAATCCGTTTTGAAGATCTCATTTAATGATTAGGTATTGCTTTGTTCAGGGAGGGTGGGGGAAACGTTCTGGCATTTACATAGCAGTATTTATTTTGGGAGGGGGGTCTGTCCTAAGTCTGCATGGAATTCTTTCAACATTTATTCTTCATCCGGTAACGTTTTTGTTTGTCCCCGAGACAATATTGGGCAGCGAAAAGGACCTGTTTACATTTATAGGCATGCACAGACGTTGGTCATAATTTCTTCTTTGGTCCATAATTCCTTCTTTGGATTTCTTTATCCGGTTATTTCTGAAAAGACACCACTTCCATCAGATCCACAGGGCAATCTTTTATGGGGGTGTAGGTATTGTCTTGGGAGTTGGGGGTCTGCAGTGGTCCAGGACTTGGGATGAGGGATCGGAGGTGGTGAACTGTCAAGCACAGGAAATCAGGAAACCCAGGCAATTCAAATAAATACAGGGATTTTTGCAATTCTTATCCCTGCTTGTTCTCCTTTCATACATTAAAAGAAACCTTTGTGGAAAAATACGGGCCCGTGTGATGTGTTTCATAATTTTGGGCCAGGAAAAATTGCATTATTCAAGCGTGCCTAAACAGGTGTCTGTAAGAATTCACAGCTTCTTTGTTCTCACTGTGCATTTTTGTAGAAGGCCAAAATTACTGGACACCGCCTAAGCAGACGTTCTTAATTTTTTTCCCCCCTTTTATCAGGATAATAATGTATTTGGATCTTGTGATCTCTCTGTTTTTGCATAAAAATACCCTCCCCTAATAAAAAACGAAAAAGTCTGAAAAATTCAGAGAAGTTGTGCACACAACACATCAGACTTCTCTGCGCGAGCCCCTCTTCCTTTGAAATGAGATCCTAAATTTAACTGGCCTGATAAATCTTTAAGTAGCACAACGCTTGTCACAGGTATCTGCTCCGTCCTCTTACCATATTCTCCAACGTGGTTTCAGCTCTTCCACTTCTTTTGCAGCTGGTCCATAATTCCTTCTTTGGATTTCTTTATTCGGTTATTTCTGAAAAGACACCACTTCCATCAGATCCACAGGGCATTCTTTTATGGGGGTGTACGTATTGTCTTGGGAGTTGGGGGTCTGCAGTGGTCCAGGACTTGGGATGAGGGATCGGAGGGGTGACTGTCAAGCACGGGAAATCGGGAAACCCAGGCAGTTCAAATAAGTACAGGATGATTGCGAGTTTATCCTCTCGACCAGAATCTGAACTACTAACAATCAAGGCAAATTGGTGGCAGATAAGAATCAATGGAATTCAAGGTTGGCAGGAGAGCGCACTATTGTGGGCGCGCAGGGACTCAAGACTAATGACACGTTTGACCCTTCCTCCGGCTCAGCCTGGTCATCTCTTACAGGGACCTTGTTTAAGTTAGAGAGTTACCTTTCAGTTTTGACTCCACTTCCTACTTCAAAAACAGGAGTTGGGGGAAACTATCCATGCTATTAGTCGCTTTGGATAGCGAGGTGAACGGCCTATAAAATTGGGGCCGATGACGATTCAAGGGCTGTGACTACAAAAAAGTGGACGTCCAACCTTGGGGGCGTCCAACCTTGGCCACTTTTAAGACCTGTAGACGTCAACTCCCAGAATTCCCCAGCCAGCATAGCTCGCATTACGTTTGTACTTGGAACTGGCATCGCTGGCTGGGGAATTCTGGGAGTTGAAGTCCACAAGCCTTAACGGTGGCCAAGGTTGGACACCCCGATTTCGAGGCTGCAGGTAGCTTCCCTACACCTGTGTCCGTCCCCCCGCCCAACCTCCTTGCGCCAGGAATTCACCGGAGAAGTACTCACTGTTGCAAGCATTGCTGCCGTTTCCCTCAATCAGGTGTTCGCCACGCTCCAGGGCGTTGGCCCGTGGGATCTGGCCTTTCCTGGCGAGAAGGGATAAAGGGAATGAGACAACAAAGAGACAGAAGACGGATAATCCGTGGAGGCCGGTGGGTTTTAGCTTCCCCCTCTCCCACTTCTCGGTGGAAGTGGCTTAAAGCTATGAATGGCCTGAGACGGAGGATAAGTGGTGATTGTTGGTGCTCTTTGTGCTGGCTTTTCTCAACTAAACACTCTTATAAACGCTACTCTCGGGACGATGCGGTTTGCCTTGTCTGAAGATGTGTGTGCCAGCCTCCCGTGACTCAGCTTTAAAGCTTCTCTGAGGTTTTATTTTCCTTTTTTTTTTTTTTAAGCTGGGGAACTAAAGCAGCACCGACCAATTGTGAGTCAGCGGCCCACAAACACACCGTTGTCTCAGCTTAGTAGAGTTTATCTGAGAACGGAATGGTCTGAGCTCTCTTTCAGAAAGAGACGAGGGAAATTGCACGACGTCCCGGTCGGTGTTAAAGAGCAAAGGGCACGTACGGTAAATACGTGGACCTTTATTCTGCCAATTCAAAGAGCCCAAATCTCCTTCCTTTGGATCAAGAACGGCTTTACCTGCAGAGGAAAAAAAACGCTCCGGCTACCAGGACGCTCAGAACGACGACTGAAGCCAACACGGCGACGAACAGTTCCCCTCTTGAGTGGCTCTTGATGCTGGGGAGCAAGATTGCTTCGCAACGAGCTCCTGTGTAGTTGTCAACACACCTGCGGACAAAGATGAGTTAGTTTGTGAGCTGAAAGGAAGCCACCACCACCCCCAGATTGGTCTCTGCTCCCTCTCCCACTTAGCTTCCTCGGTTGGCTCCCACTACAATGCGCCTTAGAGCGAAGAACTCAAGGAGTTGTGGAAGGTGTACTTTGTGCAGTGCAGGTTGGTGGCTCAAATACCCTGTTCGTTCTTTATTCGATTCATGCCCTGTTCTGCAAGAATTCAATGTTCCTTCCCCTGTTTTACCAACCCCGTGTCGTTAGAAATGTGTTTCTCACCCTTGGCAACTTGAAGACAGGTTAGACTTCCAAGTTCCAGAATGCCCCAGCCAACTTGTGTGGATTTCAATATTCAGAATGCTGGTTGGGCCATTCTGGAAACTAGGAGTCCATATGTCTTCCAAGTTGAGAAAAAGTGGGTTAGAGACAGCCCTAAATCTTCCAGGCTGAAGATTGTATGGCTCCTAATAAATCAATCTTTTTCGCTCTGAAAGATGCGGCTTAGAGACTTATGACCTGAATGGGGGGGTTGCATGTCAGAGTCTTGACAGTCCGTTCATGTCTGCATTGTTTTGAGTAGACTTGAGGACCACGGAGTCTGAGAATTAGGGTTCAGCAACACTGACGTGTCATGGTGTCACCATGCAGTTAAAATGCAGGTGAGGCCCAATGTTTTATGGGCACCTATGCACAAGTCTCAAATGTGCAGGTTTGGTTATTGAAAATATAAATCTCCACTGCGTAAGGAAATGTGGATGTGCAAATCTAATCAAAGATTCGGGCTACTTAGAAGGACTGAAAAAAATCTGAATAATCAAATGACCCAGTGTGGCGACTGAGGGAAATGTCTGAATCCGCAAACCAGATTGAGAATCTCTCATGAATGAATCTCAACGCTTCGAGAATTGGGCCTGAAAGGGAAGCTCGCATTTTGCTAGGTTTGAATAAACGCAACTACTAAAACTGCACCCCAACCAGAATGAAAGTGCGAGGATGCTTGCAGAAATTGAAGCTTTTATTGTGGGATTTTCATGGACTTGTGACGTGAACTGAGGAGAGGTTAGGATCTTTGAAAGATTCCCTAATGACATTTATAACTACAATGTGCAGTGGAATATAGTCTTATCCGTCTGTAATGGAGTAGCAGGCACGAAATTCCCAGAATTGAATGTTAAATGGCCACCTTACAATGAAAACTGCTTTCCATTTGTTGCAGGGAAGATTTCAGGAACATGAGAACATCCTATTTTCACTCTGACCCAGCAGATACTAGCCAGGTCATCCTGTGAGAATCGCCTATTCTACGGGACTGCGGCTTGTATGTCTACGTATATTTAGCACTGTAATGAATGTAAAACCTATTTGTGCTTTGCAGGCTAACCGGTCTCTTAGGAAAGAAAATCTACGTTTTTAAAGATGCTTGGTCATAGACTCGTATTTATGACGGTTGCAGCGTCCCAAGGCCACCTGATCCCTTTTTGCGACCTCCTGACCAGCAAAGTGCGTGGGGAAGCCAGTTTCACTTAACAACCGTGTCGCTAACTTAACAACTGCAGTGATTCACTTAACAGCTGCGGCAAGAAAAGCCATAAAATGGAGCAAACTCACGGAACAAATGTTTCACTCAGCAGCATACATTTTGGGGTCAATTACAGTCATAACCAGAGGATTACCTTTACACAAATCATAGATACTCATCTTTTCCTATCTCTGTGGGATTTGCTACTGCGCTGGTTTTTTTTAAAAAAAGCCTCTTTTTTCACTCAGGAAATATTTCCTGTCCCACCGAAATGCCCACTTGGACCATAAAGTGCGATAACTGTTTAGTGCTGAAGGGTAAACGGGAATTATTGATTTCCACCCTGGGCGTTTTAGACAACAGCACGGTGTCATTCTGGTTACATAAGGTTTTCTTACATCACAGGTCTCTAAAACGATCGGATTTAGACATCGCCTCTCAATATGGTATCCCTTTTCCGGCCGGGATCTGCCAGTCTACAATTAGGCCAATATGGCTTGGTATTTCCTACTGTTTCTCTCTCTCTCTCTCTCTCTCCAGGGACTTCCCGGAGGCTTTGTGCCTGGGAAATTAGCTGATGCAGAGGCTCTACAAGACTTCCCTTAAACCAGCACTTTTGTGGCTGGGTATCACATTTTTCAAGTAAATAAAACATCACACCGGGTGGAATCAGCAAGGGCAGCTCTCAGAGGGTGGTGGTGGAAGCATTTCTGTCGTTTGAAAGTCCTGCCCTTCGGCTAATGCAACCAGCAAAAGGGAAAACGGTGCGATTTTGGAAAAGCCGCTGCGCTTTAAGCCACGAAGCGTAAGAGTCCACGTTTAGCCTACCTGCAAAACGGGTTGGAAGTGGAAGGTATGGTATAACAGATCCCACCATTCAGACAGAAAGACCCATAGGTGCTGCCACAGAGTTCTTCATGATCTAAAATAAGGGGCGGTGGGGGAGAGAAAGGAAGAACTTCTGAAAAACTTCACCGAGAAAACTGCACGGTCTCGTCCAGGCAAATCTCCGAGAATCGGACGTGAATGAACAGAAGGAAAAAAAAAAAAAAGGAAAACCACCAACATCTATTTGCTTGCTCTGAATAAACGTTTCACCCCAAGCCATATAATATAACCTCAAACGTTATTTTGTGAGGTTCTGAACCTTTGAAGCTCCTCTCCATGAAAAAACGGAGCATCACAATGGAGTTGAAAGCGGTGCTATCTTGCACATGAGGTGTTTGAGAATCCTGGCTATTTCTGCCCTCCCTGAAAATGGGGCCATAAATATCTTTATTTGGAAGCAAGGAAGCTGCTGCAGGGAAAGTTGACCCCCCTCCAAATTGGAGGTGGGAGCGGGGGGGACCTCTGGCAATTTCCCCTTGCCCAAATTCTGAAAAGCAAAGCTCATTCAGAGCCTGATATTTTCCCTATTCTTGATGCCACTCTCTCTCTGACAATTGTTGTCCGTGGTAGCTATAACCATTGGGATCTTCCATCCTGGCTGTTTTTCCATAAGTCAGGAGAGAGCGGTGCCGGTACAGTGGGGAACAGCCCACTCTTCCCAGCATCAATAAGTTTGGTTTATAGACTCATAACCTGACCAGCTTGTTTATCCAGTACTGCTCTTTGCTAACAGACTAAACTCAACCGACCAGAATTTCTATTTTTACTCTGAAGTCTTTCGCTTGGCGAAGACGTTTGCTTCAGATTTTTTAGAGACGAAAGGATAGATTTTTGCCAGAAGTTCATGTTTTGGACACGACAGCTATGAGATTAAGACCGCAACTTGTGTACCCCGGTCAAGTCAGATAACCAAGTTAATGGTTTACAAATTCGTTAGAGATAATGTCTAGAATTCACACCTCCCATAAATAGAAAGCGACAGTCTCTTAGCAAATCCCCATCCATATGAGGGACGAAATAGGAACAAAACAGAGTGATGCAAGCAGTGGAATAATTGCAATAGACCATCTCATGTCCCTGGAGTTCAGACAACCCATCCAGAGAATTCCAGAATTAAAGGAAATGAAATCTAATGAGACCCTCTCTATGGCGGTCTCCCAGCCACTTTCCCTGAATCGTTTCTCATCTCACAAAACAAAGGAAATGTCATCGTTTTGAAATCCAGTCTTGATGGCAATTGATCTAAAACATCTGCTTGCCCCCCTAGGATTGAAGCCAGTGGTTTCTAAATAATTCCAAATGCTTTTGGGACAAAATAAATGATTTATTATTTTTAATACCCTGCCTAGGAGGAAGTTTGCAACAAGCCTATAACTTTTTTATGACTCGAGGGCGTAGATTTGACCTTTTAAAAAAAGTTCCGCTCATGTGTTTTAAAATTTGGACAAAGTGAATATGATGGTTTACAATTCATAAGTTAAAGGTTTAGGTCTTACGAGTTAGGAAAACCTGCCTGCTGCTGGATTTCTGTGATTGATCTACGTGTAGGCTGAGAGGACAGACAAAGAGGTGAGAAGCTCAAACTAGCAAGGCAATCTGAGAACCCTCCAGTTAAAATTATTAAATCAGACAACAGAATTAAAATGCAGAGGATTTTTACATGTCTCCATCCCTTACAAGAGACTTGAAAAGTAAATTCATAATGAGCCACAAAAGGAAATTTACTTAATGTAAGGATTTTAAGAGCAATTCATCAGTGGAACAACTTTGTTCCAGAAGTTGAGAAAATTCCAACACTGGACATTTTTAAAAAGAGATTGGACAACCATTTGTCTGACATGGTTTAGGGTTTCTTGCCTGAGCAGGGGGTTGGACTACAAGACCTCCAAGGTCCCTTACAACTCTGTTATTCTGTAGTTATCAAAATTAGACTCCAATTCAGTTTGATTCTGGGTTCTGAAGGATGCCTCAAATTTATAATTGGTTGATTTGGCTATAACGGTGTATTGCACTGATGTTAAAAGGCAGAAATGAATTATACCCCATATGTAACGAGAAAACCGATACAAACAACACACTTGTCCATATCCACCAAATCATAATTTGAATATATTGGAGTTCATCCAGTATATAAAGTACTTTGATTTCTCTAAGGGTTATTATCAGCATCACATTCTGACCAGCCTTCAAAACAATCAAAATACGTGAACATCGAGCTATGCAAAGTGTACATTATTCCAAATAGATATAACTTAAAAGTTACAATAAACAAAATATTCATGGAATTACCTGTTCGCATATTATTCTGACCACAATTTGTAATTCTTGGACACAGGCTATTCTTCAAAAATTGCCCTGGAGTGGGAAGAAAAAAAACACCTTGTTTTAATCCAAATGTCTGCTTTCTGATTAACTGCTACTTGGATTAAACATCAAAACGGAATACATTAACTTATTCTCTATAGATAATGAATTACTTTAATGCTCTACGTGAACTCGATTAATTTTAAATATAATGGCAAATCTTCCTTGTACTTGGCAAAACTTTGTTGGCTTACTAGTACTAATTTGAAAAAAAAAAAAACCTGATTTCTTTTTTTTAGGTTACCTTGTTCCAACAGAATTGTTAGATTCCTGGAAGTCTTGCAAGAAAAAAAATGAACATGTTCAAACACTGCGGAGATTCTTCCGATAATCAGATGAATTAAATGCACCAAGTTGATTTAGAACTTAACCCTATGTTTTAGTTGCTTTACAATAACCCTTTTCAGGGAGCTGAATTTTTTTTGTGGTACAACATGTCCTGATGATGTCACATTAGTGCGTGGTGTCATCATTTCATGTTATTTGAGTTAATTTTGAAATCAGAATTGCATCACTGATCTCATCTATTAAGACTTTAAAGAACTACATGAGACCCTTAATTAAATACTTCTGCTTGCAATTAAATCTCATTTTGTTGCTTTCTAAAACTGGGTAAAGTTGACCCTGTTAAATGACCCACTTAATTATCTTAATATCCATTTCTGAATATGTGTGGAGGAGGTCACATTATTATTTCCCACTTGGTGTTAGCATTTTCTTATGCTGAACAGAAGAAATACCCATAAGATTTAAGGGAGCAAGATATTAACTATATTTTAAGTTTAAAAAGGGAGAGAACTTAAAAATCTGAGGCTGCAACACAGCTTTAGCTGCAGAACCCTCTAGCTACTACAACTTTATGGTTAGCAGGACAGTGATTGAAACGGGGTGGAAATGACCGTCTCTATGGTCGTTTCTATCCAGTTTCAATTACTGTTCTGCCTTAGATATCTAAGATCTGCCCAGCTAAATTACAGTTAGTTTTCGACTTATGACCATAATTGAGCTCCGAATTTTGGTTGCTAAGTGAGTCGGCTGTGCAGTGCGTTTTGTCCCATTCTACAATCTTTCTCACCACCGTTGTTAAGTGAATCACTGCAGTTGTTAAGTAAGTCACATGGTCGTTAAGCGAGCCTGTCTTCCCCGTTGACTTTGCTGGTCAGAAGGTCACAAAAGGGGATTGTGTGACGCTGCGACGGTCGTAAATGTGAACCAGTTGCCAAACGTCTGAATTTTGATGGAATTTGCAGCCATTGGGGATGCTACAATGGTCGTAAGAGTGGGAAACGGTCATAAGTCGCTTTTTTCAGGGCCGTTGTTAAACTTCAAGCAGTCACTAAACGAACGGTTGTAAGTCAAGGACTACCTGTATGCCAAGGAGGGTGAGTGTCATGACATAACCACTAAGATTGCAGTGGGACTTTAAAAAAAAGGTATGAAATAGTTTGCAAACCTTAAAATAATTAATCCCTTCTCTCCCTCTCCTCCCCTCCAGACGTAAAACAAATGTTTTCCCCAAAGTTAAAGTTGAGTAATAAATAAAGAGTTCCCTTTTCATAATTCAATGCATGTGGGTTATATTAATTATCAATCTTTTTTTATTGACGGAGTTCTCAAGCTTTGCAATGTTACAAGGCTGGCACCGTCAAAACAAAGACCAAAACTTTGGGACCAATTTGGACAGGGCTCCTGATTCTCCTAAGCTACCCAGTTTTTATACATTTATTTTAATGTTTTAAGTGGGTTTTTTTTTTCCCAGAGGTTACCAGCACCGCTATAGACCTTCTTTTTTAAACAAAAAATCAAATAGAAGCGTGCAAGGATTACTCATAATTTGACTGCATCCCCCAACGTCTTTCTAATTTAGAAAGACCTCCGGCATAACGAGCAGCGTATAAGTTTAATAAATAAATGAATAACTTTTGTACACACCTCCCGAAGAGCTCTTTAAAGAAATGCCACATGATCATTTGCAACACACAAGTGCAGGTAGCATTGTACACCAGCTCTTGGCTATTTTTAGTCCTCTTCCTACAGGTCAAGAAGCTGGCTAAAACCAACCTCTGTTCAGTCGTGTCCCTCGGAAAAGTCATTGTGTGGCTTCTCCTAGCCCAGAAAGACCTTTGCGGTTGCTTTGGCAAACACTGGATGGACATAGTTTTCTCGTGCCAGTTGTTGCACAAGAATGTGAGCGTTAGGAAACCACAATTCCTGACATCCACTTGAGGAATTTATAATGTACGGGACTATTTCACAAGTGCATAACACAAAATCCCCAGGAAACACCTAGGAAAACAGTGTTACTCAACTTTGGGGAATTTAAGCTGTGTGGACTTCAGTTTCCAGAATTCCCTAGTGACTCCCTTGGGGAATTCCCAATCTGCATGATGGTTTTGGGAAATTCTGGGAATTGAGGGCCACGCACTTAAAAGTTGCCAAAGTGGAGAAACACCGAAGGATGGGAAAGGTAGCACGTAGGAACGTCACTCTCCAAAGTCAAGCTCACAAAGGAATTTACTTCTACGTAGGCATGCAGAAGGTTTGATGTTATTTTATTTGAATGACGTAGGTGTTTTAATATTTTTTATACATCCTGGAACCCACTGAGAATCGCAAGACTGCAGTGGGATAGATATTCAGCGAATAAATGAGCGCATAAATAAATGTTTATTTATTTAGTTATAACTTTATTTAGTTATAACTTTGAATCAGGCTGGAGAACTATCTGTTTTACACAAGCTGTAAGGATGAAAACGTCAAGAATGCTCACTCAATTGTCATTTCCAACGATTACTTCTTGCAAGCTATGTAGGGCAAATAAAATTTGAAACCGGATATTTACAAGAAACTTCTAAGATTGGATAAATTATAGGTTCAAAGTATTTTAAAACCTAGTTACAAAACCGCAATACACATTTAAAAAGCAATTCTACGCAAATATAGTCCCAAATAGAATGAACTGGTTGCAAGAGAACTCATTTTCAGATATATACTATTTTAGCCTGAGGGAGTTCTTGGCAAAGTAACCAGTTTTATACTCTGCTAAACAACATATTAACTTACATGCTGTTTTCCTCAAATATATATTTGTCTGGTTTTTTTTTTTTAAAAAAGGAAAAATATTTTCCTTATTTCTGCAGTAACGTTTTGAAAAATGGAATAAGGTAAATAGAATAACACCATATGACCTTTCTCTTTGTATAAACTTTGCTGCAAGACATTTACACCGGAACTGCCTCTCGCGAACTTACTTAATCATCGGATTACATTTTTCTTTTGTGGACCCTGAATTGTCGATATTTAATTCTTCACTTGAAGCATTGCCACGTTTGCCTCAAAGAACCTTAAGCGCATGACATCCTTGTGAAAATAAAATGCTTGAAACGACCTCTCTGCTTATCCACGAAGGATAATCGAGTATGGATTTATCCATAAGGGATTTATCAATCATTTGTCAGAAATGGTATAGGGATCTCCTGCTTGGGTGAAGGGGGTTGGACTGGATGGCCTACAAGGTCCCTTCCAACTCTGTTAATCTAAACTTCCAAACAAAACAAGGGAGCAGTGTCTATACTTACCCTATCACTATAACCAAATACGGGTGCTACTTGCAAGGTGATTTGATGTCTTCGTTGTTCCTGTGCGCCTGCTGATTCTGCAATACAAAAGATGGAAATACAATTCCTGGTGTTATGTAAGTCTGGCCCCTGTTTCGCCTTGTGGCTTTTTCTTATGCCTCATCGACCTTCTGGATAGGTGAGATAGCAGCAGTTTTCAAAACAGCCAGCACCGCATCGGTTAGAAAGGAAACAAAACGGTGGAAAGAGGCTTACCTGGTGGGGTGGGAGGTGTATGAATATCCCAAACGCTCCCTCTCTCTCTCTCTTTCTCTCTCTCTCTCTCTCTCCCCCAAATCAAAAACCATGCACTTCCAAAAAGGCAAAGCTCTTTGCTCACCCACGAGATTTGGCATTATGCACCTGATGCTTTGAAAGCCGAGGATTTATAGAACGTGGGTGAGGTTGACAGACGCTCCGAAGTATACACAGAGGCCAAGTATGGGCAAGGAGGAGGACCCGCCCATTCCTTCTCCAGGAACTGAAGGCCTGTCAATCTCCCAAAGAGACTTTGATCGTAAAGTGAAAATGCCCTGTCCAACTCACACCGGAGTGAACTTTGGTGCGGCGCCCAAATAGCCAACACAAACGACGCAACACAAACGGGAGGACCAGTTTTCTAGTTCGCAGGTCTGGACAGGCGTTTGAATTGCCCCTGGAGCCTACGAGGGTCCCCGGCTCCCCGAGAAAGACCCTGCGTGCAATTCTACAATAGCTCTTTATGTGCAAATCCTTCCCATGAGCGGTTCCAGCATTGAGGTCACTGCCCTTAGCCTCAAGTGTTATTTATGTGACAAGGACATTTTTGCCACCTGTTTTTTCACATCTGACGCAGCCGGATTCTGAGACCGACGGGGTTTTTTTTTTTTTGCATTGCCATAGATGTTTTGAAGGGGAGCGAGATACAAAAATCTTGAGAAGTTTAGTTTAAATTAATTAGTTACACTGTTATTATTGTTTAGTTTAATTGTCATTGGACCTTGTTCAGTGAAATTAAATACCATCTTCTGTGCGCATTAGGACTATGAAAATAAACACAAACACACATCCTTCACATTCTATACATTGAATTGAAAACCCCTGATATTGCATTAATATTGCACTCTACGGTAGAATTCAATAGAGTTACTGCCCTGGGATAGAAGCTGTTTTTCAGCCTATTTGTCCTTGTTTTTATTATACTGTACCATCTCCAGATGGTAATAGTTAAAAAAAAAAGGGTTCCCAGGATGAGATGGATCTTTAAGAGTGTTTTGAACTTTCTTAAGGCAGCAGGAGCCATAAAGCTCTTCCAAAGAGGGGAGAAGGCAACCAGTGATCCTCTGGGCAATGTTAGTTAGTTATCAATACACGTTGATACTTCTGTTTGTTTGTCTTTTGCTTTTTTGTAAATGATATGCCCTGACAATACATTATATTCAAAATGTCTATGAATAAAAATAAAACATATACTGGGGGGTAGAGAGATACAAAAATCGTGCCTAAGACGGAAGCGTAAAAGATGAGAGGTTTGGGCCGTTTAACCTCCTCACCCACCGAATGAGATAAGAGAATAAAGTACTAATAAGTGAGACATTTGTTAAGTGAGCTTTGCACCTTTCTATGACCTTTCTTGCCACAGTTGTTAAGTGAATCAGTGCAGTTCTTAAGTTAGCGCCCCATGAAGCGAATCTGGCTTCCCCGTTGACTTTGCTCTTCAAGTCGCAAATCAATCAATCAATCAAACGTTTATTGTCAGATGGCGGAGAGGAAGAAGTAGAAGTTGAGGAACCAGGGGCTGTTAGTTTCTGACTCATTTGGAGCAATTCAAAATCTTTAGGTTCTTCTAGACCTTAATCCAATGGTGAAATAGCCAATTGCAATTCCAAATAAAAATCGTAGGAAAAAAGAAGCCAAATAGTAACAATAATAATCATAATAATAAAAAAAAAGAAAAAAAATATTTCTTCAGGTTCTTGTATACCTTAATCCAATCGATTGGTTAGATAGCAGTAAAAATTCAAAAATGTAGGAAAAGACCATAAACACACACACACACACACACACACAAAAGTTGTAAAATCCTAAGAAAGGCAGAAAGATGAACAATAAATAGCTAAAAAAGAGAAAGGAAAAATTCTTCAGGTTCTTCAACACCTTAATCCAATTAAGAGGTCTCAGATATAAAATCCCTGTTCCTTCCTCCCCCACCCCACTAACCTGCTTTCCAGCTCCGTTCTCCTGGGCAGGGCAACCAAAGAAGACCCAGCCGATCAGCTGTGGGCGTGGCTTGGTGGGTGTGGTGTTCTGTGGGCATGGCTGTGTAGCTTGGTGGGTGTGGCTTAGTGGGCGTGGCAGGGGAAGGTTATTGCAAAATCCCCATTCTCTCCCCCCATCCCGCTAACCTGCTTTCCAGCTCCGTTCTCCTGGGCAGGGCAACCAAAGAAGACTCAGCCGATCAGCTGGGACTCAATGGGAGGCGGAGAATAGATGGGCTTGGCGGGGCCAGTCAGAGACGGGATTGGCTGGTTCTCCGGACTACTCAAAATTTCCGTTACCCGTTCTCCAGAACTGGTCAGAACCTGCTGAACACCAATTCTGAATTCCAGGACCTTGTGATCGTCATAAATACGAGCCAGTTGCCAAGCAATCAAATTTTGATCATTGACCACAGGGATGCTGCAACGGTCATAAGTGTGAAAAATGGTCATAAGTCACTTTTTTTCAGCGCCGTTGTAACTTTGCTCACTTCAATGAACTGTGGTGAGTCGAGGTCCACCTGTATTTCCCATAAACCCAGGGGCACGGAACCTACCCCAAGATTAAATTTCCCTAAAGCTACTACTCCCAATCGGAATTTGTTGAAGCATCTTCCAGAATTCTAGACGGAGCCTTGGGAAAAATCATATATATCCTGCGTTTTGGAAGTGCAGCTATGGTAACTGCCCCTACAAGCCAAGCCTTGGTTTTTGCATTACAGATAGGAATGGTATGTGGTGGGGAGAAATATGTTGGTTCCTGAATTTCTCCCAGCAACTGTGTCTCTCGCTGAAATATTTTGCGAGATGGTGTAGGAAATAATCTTTCTATCTGGAACTGACAGGGTGATTCACTTTGTTTGCAAAATGATACCACTTTACTTGAAGCCTTGTCATAAAAAATACAGTGACACATCTGCTGACACAGTCAGTGGAGTATTCAGAATTTTTTTTAATTTTTTTAATGTGATACTACTCCCTTATTCTAGCCTGTCCTACTGGGCTCCATCCTTTCAGACCTGAAAATGTTGGGGCAGAGACAGATCTAAGCATGTTGATAATGATGTTGATCTTTAAATACCCAAGACATAGTCATGGGGAAAGACGGAAGTGATCTCTTAGCCAAAAGATTTTCTTGGCAAAGTCTGTGACTTCCTCACACCTTTTCTAGATTTCCTATAGCTTAGGACACCTTTTCCGTTTTTGTTAACTGCTACTTCTTGGTCCACATCATAGTTTACCGAACTAAACAATTAAATGGTTTGGGTTTTAAATCTTTCACTGTTACTGTTTAAATCTGGAATTAAAACCTGCATGAGAGCGACACTTATTAGAAGCAAAAAAGTGGGTGCTTATAATTAAATCCTGAAAAATGACTCTCTCTTTCTCTTTCCGCCTCCCTCTCTCTCCCTCTTCTCTCTCCTTTCTTCCATCTCTCTCCCCCTTCCTCTTCTTTCTCTCTTCTCTCTCTCTCCTTTCTTCCATCTCTCTCTCCCTCCCTTTCTCCCTCCCCCTCTCTCTCCTCTCTCCCTCCTCTCTCTCCTTTCTTCATCTCTCTCCCCTTCATCTCTTCTTTCTCTCTTCTCTCTCTCTCCTTTCTTCCATCTCTCTCCCCCACTCTCTCTCTTTCCCCTCCCCCCTCCTCTCTCCCTCCTCTCTCTTTCTTCATCTCTCTCCCCCTTCCTCTCTTCTCTCTCTTCTCTCTCTCCTTTCTTCCATCTCTCTCCCACTCTCTCTCCCTTCCTCTCTCTCTTTCCCCCTCCCTCTCTCCTCTCTCCCTCTCTTTCTCGCTCTCTCTTCATCTCTCTCCCACACTCTCTCTTCCTCCCTCTCTCTCTCTCCCTCTCCCTCTCTTTGCAACCAGCATATATTTTATCACAGCGGCAGCATCCGCTGTGCCACGCCATTCCCAGCCCGCTGTCAATAAACAAAGTCAATGGAGGAAGCTGGACACGCTCAGTGACCACAGGACTCGCACAACAACTGCAACGATTTGCTTAACATCCTTGGCAAAAGTTGCAGAATTGGGCCTGTGTCACTGAAGAACCATTCTTGCTTAGCAGTGGAGATCCTGGTTTTAAAGACTACCTGTAAAGTAATATATTTGGCTGAAGAGAGAGAGATAAAAGGTGGAATTCTGCTTCTTTGGGGGCGCGGGGGGGGGGGAGTTATTTCGTAGCGGTTTGCTCGATAGTGCTGGCCCAAATGCTAGATCAATAATTAAAAATTTACTATCTTAATTTCCCCATTTGGGGGTTGAAAGGACGGAGACCTGGCATTGCAAGAACTGAGCTTCATCCCTGGAGGCTTTCGAGAAGAGACTGGAGAGCCGTTTGTCAGAATTGGTGTAGGCAGAGCCTCGTGCTTGGTGGGGGTTGGAATAGATGACCTACAAGGTCCCTTCCAACTCTGTTAATCTAATCTAAAACAGAGGGGGGGGTGTGGGGGGTGTTATTGGGTGGCTGGGAGGAAGCTAGAGAGGTAAACACCGTTTTTTTTTTTTTTTTTGCCTCAGGAGGAGCTTCTCATCTTACGAAGCCCTCCTTTTGTTTTTGTGGCTTCAACTTTGGAAGAACCCTGACCTTCAAGGCAGCGGAGAGTTACGTCCGGCTGATTAATGAACCCAGCACGGACGAAAGGGCTCAAGGCAGAGAGCTCTGGGCGACGGGAGGGAGGACGAAGGCTCCTCTCGTGCGCCACGAACGAATCCTGGTTGCGTTAAAAGAAAAGCATCGACAACCTTTCGGTGCGCAGGGGAGCCAAAACCAAAGGTAAGGCTTTTCGGACCAGTTGTGAAAACA